GAAAACCAACGTCCGGTTGTTCCCGAGGACATTTCAACAGGACTTCATCCATTTCAAGTCGAGTATCCCTCTCATTAATAACTCCATCGCTTGCTCTCACACGCTTTCGGAAATGAATAAAAAAAAAGACATCAAAAGTCAGACTTTGCAGCAAGCATCACGAGTCTTTTCGGTAGCAGTGTATATAGCTTGACAATCAATGATTTGTTGTCTGTACTAACTTAATTTAGAATACAATTTAATGAGATGGTATGCCGCTGGTTACATATTCGCAGTCAAACATTAAACAAAAACAGGATAGACAAGTTTTAAGAAAGTCTTATTAAACATCACTCTTAGTCTTTCTGAGAGAAGTAACTGCAATCAACACAGGAATAATTCTAAGGAATATACTTCTTCTTAGGTAATATATACAGTGAGACTCAAGATGCGGATGTAATGAGGGCATCAAGAGTGTCCCCAAGTCGAAATGTCCCTAAGCTGAGTTTCATTTTCCCTCAGACTTACATAATATAATTTTCAATTGGTGTTTTATGTACAAAATACTCACCATAATCCCATGAAAATAAAAATTGTCTCCCATATTAAACTGATTCCAATCAATATATTTCAACACAATATGGATATTTGGGGAATTTAATACTAATACTTCTGTACAGCACATAGAAATGTTGGCATTCTCTGTTTAAAAAAAAATATTCAAGTGAAAAAGAGAGAAGTCCCTCTCTGCTGGAGGTAATTTTTTCAAATTAGCAAGATGGACGGTAAATTGGTCAGAGAAATGCCAAAAGAACTTTTCTTACATCAATTTTAGGGTTGGAAATATCTCTTTCTTGTAATTTGGCCTGAAATGTATTTGCAATNTGCTCTTTAGAATCATTCTAGAGTTGACCCAGGGAAGTTGAGGCTTAGCTAACCTAGATACTTGTTTGCAGTAAACTTTAGTTTGCATTCTCAGTCCTCTGGACTTAAAGGTTTTTATCTGTGTTTGTGTTTGTCCTTTGTGAATGTTGTCTGCCAGTATATAAATAAAAGTGTATATACTCAACTCACAGTCCTCTTTAATTTCTCAGTCAGGGGAAATTAGGGGGATAACAATATTTTAATATAACCAATGCAAATACACACAATACATATAATGTACAAGACACATCTCAAGATATTTCCTTTCAAATCCTTGGTGCAGAGGTGCAAACACATCAATCACTGTTGGCAGTGAAAGAAAAGAAAGTACAGTATATGTATTAAAGAGAAACAGGAATGTCTAACATGGGATGATGTAAGAAGATAAAACTCAAAACAAGGAAACAGCTGCAGGAAAAAGTCTTGTATGCCTAATTTGGAAATCATAGGTTCTGGAAACAAATTCAAATGTTTCCTGGATTAAAAATTATGTGATTAATATTCCCCACGTCAAATTCATCTGAAGTCCCTGGAACAAAAACACTGAATAATTTCACCCCCTCAAATGGCAACTTTTAATTCACAACAAAATATTTGTTAAAAGCAAATTGTTGATCACCTATAAGTAGAAATGTGAACAAAATAAAGTGGAAGGGAGAAAAAAATGTTTTGCATTCGCACTTTATTATGTAAAATTTGAAATTTATGAAAACGATTTAACACTTTATATATATATTTTTTAAAACTTTTGAACCAACCCTCGCATATAAAAAATTATAAAACTAGAATTTACTTTTCCCATTTCCTTGAAGTATCAATTCACACATGATAGAGAAATCCTCTGAAAACGGTTATTGGTCAGCAGTGAAAATATACGAAAAAATATATACAAAAGACAACAAAAAGGAAAAAATAAAAATAAAAAATGGGGTCACCTACACTGATTTTCTCATTTAGCAATTCAGTTCTGGTTCCGAATGCGCAGGCACGTGGTGGGGGCGTGTTATTCCAAGCTGGGTTTCATTGGGGGCAAGCAAGAGATCTGCCTGAGTGACAAGGGGGTCAACAGGAAGGGCACCATCATGCACGAGGTCATGCATGCCCTGGGCTTTGACCACGAACACAGTCGACCAGACAGGGACAAGTTCGTCTTTGTCAACTGGTGCAACATTTCTCAGGGTGAGGATATGATTTAAAAAATATTAAATTCTCACGTTTTTCTTTTCTACATTTATATTCAATATTATTATTTTTTAAACAATCAGGCAACGAATGAAACTTCGATCTAATTATATTTTCGAGGATTTTAATCGAATTGTCACGGTGTCATCAAGAAAAATAATAAACATGTCAATGACCTCTGAAACATTTTTGCATTTTTTATTGACAATTCTACTCATTTTTATTGAATATTCAATACTCAAATGACGCGCCACCAGTTGGAATTTTAACTCAAATATCACCAGGCAATTTTAATTGTATGCAACTGTATCATCAAAAACAATAATTTTCATTTGAATGACTTGAAACAGCCCCACAGCAATTATATTTACAATCACGCTATTTAAAGCTTCATTTTAGACATAAAATGTCACTGATTTTTGAGGCATTATAAAGAAAACGTAGTTTATTGCTAAAGCAATTTCTCATCATGGTAATCAGTACATATTTGTTTAGGCATTCATTTATGAGCCTATTGAAATTAATTACCACCCAATCCTGATCAAGTAGAACTGAAGTAGAACCCTTCTAGTCAAGCTTCAGGAGACTAAAAGAAATTAGGAAATACTTGATTAGGTAAGCCAATGAGCATTTTTGTCCAGGAAAAGAACAAATAACAAAATTTGAATTGTTGATATTCTGGGCCAAAGAATTGCATTTTAAATTATTTTACAGGATGCTGAAATTGGAGACAAGGCTTGGTTTGCCTGTGTAGTCTTCTACTTTGTTACAAGTTGCATTTTTGGCAGGCTTCAATAAACAAAGTCACAATTTTTTTCTCTTTCCTGTCAATGAAATAATGACCAAAAAATGCCTTCATAAATTCAAAGGGGAGAATTCTTTGAATTAGGGAGGTTTCTAATGCATTGTTTTTATGCGGGACTTCAAACAATAACTTGGGGAAAATTTTTAAAAGGGGAGGTTCAAGTTATCGAGGTTCCATTGCATTACCTGAAAAAATGCATCGCATTCGACTGAATTTCACCAGCACCCATCATTTATCTTCATAATCACGCCGAATTCCGCAGCACTGTATTTTCAACTTTTAAAAATGCTGCGAAAAAAGTTGCAAAATATTTTTGTTATTGACAGTCATTTTTGACAGGATTCGAGCCCCAGTTTAAAATCCGGTACGGGAAGTTGTCTGAGAATGGAAGATACGATTACGGGTCTGTGATGCATTACCCAGCACATGCTTTTGCGGATCTCAAATTGTTGCCAACTATCATTCCGAACAAGAAGCACATTGGCCCTCGGGGCATTGGTCAGCGTTTGTGGCTGTCACCTGACGACGTGTACAAGATAAACGCGGCTTACACGTGAGAAAGAAAAATTACTTTGGCATTGATAGCATACAATTCTTTAAAAAAAAAGTAAGTTCGAGATGCAAAATCAAATTCGGCGGTATTCTTAAAGATTTTCTAGATTTTTTTTTTCGTTGAAAAATTGGCACTTTCCACTCCTCGTAAAATCATCTCGAAAGAATTTCTGCTCAACTTGACTTTAAATCAGCAATTGCTGAAAATGTTTGCCTTTAAATGGTTGAAGAATTTATTGCATCCATGAAAAAACCAATGACTCTCACTCAACATCAATATTTTCTCAATTCTGGATCACTCAGATAAACGTAACTTACGTTTAGAAAATATTTTTCACATTTTTACTTTCAGGTGAGGAATGTGAGGCTAAAAATATGCAGGATTTCTTGCCAAGTTCAGTTGTTTTTCCCGAGACATCGCTATAATATTTGGAAATCGAATCGAACATCGAAAACTTTGCTTAAATTGAAATATATTCGCGTGAAAATCAGCCAAGAGGGATTTGAGCAGGAACAATTCAATTTTGAAATTCACGTGTCTCTTTAGTGAATCGCGAATTTTCTTGATATTGGGATTCATTTTTTAAATTCCGCACTGGCTAACGCAGAATTTAAATTTGATCGCACGAGTTGATTGGCATAAATCCCGCTATTGGAAAAAATCAAGGCGTCAAGTTGAATAAAAAAAAAAGGCAGCAATATTTTTAGGGCAACTAATTATATTTATCATTATTATTTTTTGAATTCTAGGGCAACACCTGAGAGGTCAGGATACGCGACTGCAAATCCCGACGCAATGGAGCATTACTCTGCAGATAATCACGCAGATTTGCACAGATTCTTCCCACCCATGGACAAACTGCATTTCCAAATGAGATTCCGGCCAATCGTAGAAGAGGTCTGCGAACCCGACGAGAACATCCGGCAAAAAGGTTCTTTTCTTCCTCATAATTTCCTCAAAACATTAAAAATTTCACCCTCTCCATTTTCCCCGCTTTGAAAAAAAAAACAAGTCCTGAAGAAAAAATGGGGCAAATCCAGAAAAACCAGACTCAAGTTGGCCGAAATCAAGGGCAAATACAGTGAAATGACCAAAGAGCGAATCAGACTCAAATCCAGGTGCCACAGATCCAAGAGAACTGCAACAGCTGCAAAGCGCGCAAAATTGCAGAAAATCCGCGACCACAGAATGCTTTTATCGCAAGGAAAACCGAATCCTCGTAACCCATAAATTCAAACAAAATTTACAAATTTACTTCGCATTGACAATTCTCACATGCGCCCAAAGTTTTGGGATCAGCGAACAAAATTAATTACCGATCTAGAAATATACTTTTTCAATGTTCTCGCTCGAGTGAAATATACCGAATTTCGAATTCAACCAACCCATTGTAGGTCATTCCAAGAATTTCCGGAACCTTCCAAATCCCCCGAAATTCTGAGTAAATCTGCAGACATTAGTCTGCGTTAATTTTCGAGCTCATCTTTACTCTTACTTCCCATTTCACCCGTTTTTCCCCCCCTCACTCCGCCGTTTACTTTTTCTTATGAAGTGCGAAAATTTTCTCGAAACTTCCGAGAGGATGAGGTGAAAATTGAGAGAAGCCATGGAGTCTGGATTTAACTGCCTGGGGCAAAGACTCAGGCGCCATGTGTGTGATAGACGAGCACCATCATCACGGAACCATCACACTTCGAGGTGCAACAGCAGCCATGGCTTATTCAGGATGAATGCCAACGAGGCTCTACTTTACAACGACTTCCAGAACGATGAGGAGGAGTCACTCGACAGGTTTTCTGTGAGTGTTGACCAAGAAGATAATGCCAGATTGGAGGCAGACTCTGACGAATCTGATGTGGATGCTAAGGTGGATCGAAAGGAGGCAATGGCTGATGCTGCTAGTACTTCATTGAAGAGTAGTGATTCAAGGAATGTGGGTGAAGATGAGGCTATCACAGGTAGGCATTGAGAAGTGATTAAAAGAATGCCACCCTTCGAAATTTCTACTCGAAGTAGATGATGACGAATGTAAATTAATTCAGCAATAAACTTGCTGGTAAATACTGAAAAAGCAAGACTTATCAACATAGGATCAAAACTTGGTTGTTTCAAGGGAAAGGTTACTTAAACAGAAACCAGTTGAGATAGTCCAAGTGAGTGTTGAGATAGTCCAAGTGAGTGTAGAGATAGTCCAAGTGAGTGTAGAGATAGTCCAAGTGAGTGTAGAGATAGTCCAAGTGAGTGTAGAGATAGTCCAAGTGAGTGTAGAGATAGTCCAAGTGAGTGTAGATATAGTCCAAGTGAGTGTAGAGATAAGTGTTGAGATAGTTTTTGTGAGTACTGTTTGAAAAAGTTGAGTTGTTCAAGAGTTTATTCATTAGTCACTTAAAAGACTTATGAGGTGTGACACACACACACACCTTTCATGAATGTAACTGGCATGAATGTTGCATACACTGCTCGAATTATGAATACACCAAGCTCATTTGAATTAAGCATACATTTATAATAAAATTGATATTGAGAATAGTTTGAATAATACCAATGATGTTGTCTATTATGTGATTCATTAAGCAAACATTTGTGGAGCAGCATAGGAAAAAATCAAACCAAAATTGGTTATTTTCTCAGGAGCTCAAAGCAAGATATCTGACCCAAATGTGCAGTCAAAAGTGGTATCACGCAGATCCAGAAGTAGACGCAGACGTCGGCCTAGAAAATCTGCAGCCTCAAAATCAAGAGGGAGCAGATATCATGATGACACAACCTATGATGATGATGGAGAGCCTGTAACGCAGTGCTTGCACTTGGATGATGATAGATCCAGAGAATCAAGATTGAGGAGATTGAGGAAGAGTGCCAGGGCTCACAAGCCCTGTGACTGTTGTCCAAAGCCATGCCCACCACCTTGTCCAAAGCCATGCTGTTGTCCACCACCTTGCCCAAAACCATGTCCACCTCCATGCTGTCCCCCACCATGCCCAAAACCATGTTGTCCACCTCCATGCTGTCCACCACCTTGTCCAAAGCCATGCTGTTGTCCACCACCTTGCCCAAAACCATGTTGCCCACCACCTTGCTGTCCACCACCTTGCCCCAAGCC